ATTTGTCTCAGAATGTGAGAGGGCATGCTTGCAACACAACCAAAGCCGTAGTCGGATGGAGATTTATGGAGTTGGCTAGGTGTTACACCATGGCTGAGTTTGAGTCTGCTTACGCATCTTTTAAGGTGAGATATCCTCTAGCGTACAAGTGTTTGGAGGAGCATATTGAGAAAAGCACATGGGCTCAGGTTTATTTCCCAGGTGTGAGATACAACTTGGACACTAGCAACAGTGTGGAGTCAATGAACAGTGTGTTTAAGGACACCATGAGGTATGCTTTAATACCATTGATGGATACAATCATCAAAACGTTTTCTGACTAGTATAATGAACATCGGAAGAACTCTGTGTCTGGGTTGATTGCTACGAAACTGGTTCTTCTTGTCGAGATTCACATCTATAACCTATGGGCCATAGCTGAGAAAACACAAGTGTGTGAGCTAAATAGTTATGAGCTTGAGTACGAGGTAACCGACAGTGATAATGGGAAGAATTATGTTGTGAACTTGATAGCAAAGAGTTGTATATGCAAGGTATATGATTATGAAGAGTATCTTTTTCTGCACAGACTTGCTGCTTACTTATACCTCCTTGAGGTTGATGCTGCTCCTGGTCGTCGACGTGATGTGAGGATAGTGTATCATGAGTTGTGCTCGAAATATTACTGGACAGAACTTTGGGCATTTGCTTATTACAAGACCATTTATTCTGTGCCGGACAGGTCTGAATGGAATGTATTAGACCACATTAAAGAGCTTCAGATCATACCTCCGGATCGCCTCAAGAGGAAGGGAAGAAAAAATAATAAGAGGAATCCATCTGTTGGGGAGCGACGTAAAAGGACACAAAACAGGCGACCAAGGTAAAATTTTGGTTTAAATTGGCTGTTGTTTGGAATGCATAGTAGTAATCCCAATGAATCAAACTAGATCTTTTGTTTGTATTTTATTGTTGTTGTTTGCTTTTGGTATGTTGCTTTTGGGATGTTGCTTTTGGTATGTTTCTTTTGTTTTTTTTTAAAACATTGGTAAGACTAAGTATATCCTTTCTCGAATAGACCCGATTTTTCTCCTTAATAACTCTAATAAATGAAATAAATACTGCATCTTTTTCACTCTTTCTTCTTTTTCTATCTCTCTTTTCTCTCGACTCTTCTCTTTCCCAGGAAAAATAGTGAAGATGCAAGGAGATGGTTCGGGATCGACAAGGAGAAGGCAAAATTCTGGTCGGATATTGTGTGTTTTGTCGCTTAGAGGCAGCCATAACATAAGCTTGGACAGACAAGAACCCAGAACGATGATTTTATGGCTTTCCACGTTTTAAGGTATCCCAGCTGATTATAAACTAGCGATTCTGATGTTAAAAATAGCTTTACAATTAAAATTATGGCAGGAGAAAAATGGATGCAAGTTCTTCGCATGGTTTGATGAAGAAGAAGGTACATTATGGCAAAAAAGAGCTATGATTGAAGCCTGGGATGAGATCCGAGAGAAGAGTAGAGTGATTGAGCAGTTAAACGAAATGATTGCAGAACTGAGAAGAAATTTGGAGAAGATAAAAAATGAAGAGAAAATTGTTAGAAAGTTTGATTTTTTTTATGTTTAAGCGATCTTACTATGTATTCTCTCTGTTTAAGTGTTTTGGAACCTCTGTTTAAGTGTGTTTGATCTCGATTTGTTTCAACTGTCTAAGAGATATATTTGAAATCCACGAAACTAGTATTACAAGGTGTAACTATGATAGAAATTGGCATCATCCGAACATCACATGATAGGCATAATTTGCATTTAATACAAACAACAAAAGACTTAATACATAAACATATTCACCTAAAAATATGTAACAAATACTGCTTCTGAAAATGGATTAGTGAAATAACTAATATATACAAAACTCATAATAAAAAGACTCATCTTTTCACATTTTATCATAGTCTTTCCAAGAGCACTTTGTTAATAAGATAAGCTTATAGAGAAGTATTTTATAATTTTCATGATTTCAAAGATATTATTGCACTAGTCATTTATAATTACATGGTAATGCAGAAAAGTGATAAGTAAAACTTTCTTCACAAATTAAAATTAGACGTAAAACTAAAAAATGTTGAAATCACGAAAAATAGAATTATGAAGAAAGTTGGTAAAACCAGAAACTTCAGTATAACTATGCGCAAATATTTCGGAGAGAGAATAAAAAAATTTTGGCGCCATAACGAAAATACCCAAAATTTTCATTTTTTTGGGTCAAAAAAGTAGATTCTCTCTGCTCTTTTCTCTGAGAGTCTCGACTCGTCCCGGCTTTTCCCAATCACTTTTCCCACTTCCCAAGCACTCTCTCTACTCTATCTTCTTTTTCTCGTCGATATCCATTTCATTTATACACTCTCTCTTCATCCATTCTCTTTCTATATTCTCTGAAGATCCAGGGCTTTATTATTTCCCCTTTATTGAACATGATTCATCTGTATGAAGAGATGAAGAACCTGAAGAAACACCACGACATGTAAGGCTTCATAGCTGATACCCAATATGGAGTTCCTATCCGTTGCCCAAGATGGAATTCCTATCCCTTTCCGTCCCGTACCGCAGTGGGCTCGGATTGTCGCGGGTCGTTGCGGTCCTGTCCCGCGGGCTGCGGTATGCAGAAGGTTGGCCCAATCCCGCCCCGCAACAATGCACAGGTTTCTACGGGCCGTTTCGCGGGCCAGACGTCAATGGTGCTGCTGACTGCTCCTAGTTGCTTTAGATTGGTCATAGGCGCTTCAGAAGACGCTTCAGAGAGGTCTAAGACGTTTCAAGCTGCTCCACAACATACCTGCGTGCATCACATTGAAGATATATAGTTCTGGACATCATTTACATTTTTTATATAATTATTTTAGCATTCACTTTAAATCTATTTTCTGCATTCATATGTTAGGATTCATAAAGTTTATGATAAAGTGCATGTAGAATATGAAATGTAAATTCTGAACCAAATTGAATTTTATAAAAACACCAAATCATAGTACTCAAACAAAAGCAAACAACTTAAAAATCAATTCTCAAATTGTAATAAAGCAAAATACCAAATTAAATGTGTCATCCGACAGCTAATTAGCCTACCTATAACCTACGCAATTCAACCAAATTAAAACCCTAAGCTACGTTCCACTTCCAGAGATTAAGTTACTCACCTTAGAGATTCAGTTGTTTAACTTGATTCTCCATTGATCATGCTTGCTTGTTCACAATCACTCCATCATCTCAGGCAAAGAAAATATAAAATAAAGTTACATAAGTAAAGAGAAATAGCTAACTGAGACAAAGACATCAAACTAGGCAGATATAAAACAAACAGCACAATCACAAAATCAATGAGTTGAGTCTTGTCTTAACTTCGCACCGAGTTTAACCGCCAAGCCTGTGAACAATCACCCTTGAGTCCTTAGAATGATTTTTAACAAGTTTGGAGGTTTGAACTCGGTGACCTACTAAAAACAAGCAATGCAATCATGTAACACCTAATTCAAACAATCATATAAAAATAAATTTAACAAATTTAGATCAAACATATCAATCTACTTTATACAAACAAACTAGGCAGATATAAGACAAACAACACAATCACAAAGTCAATGAGTTCAATCTTGTCTTAGGTTCTCACCGAGTTCAACCGCCAAGCCTGTGAACAATCACCCTTGAGTCCTTAGGATGATTTTTAACAAGCTTGGAGGTTTGAATTCGGTGATCTACTGAACACAAGCAAAGCAACTCATGTAACACTCAATTCAAGCAATAAATTATAGTATTAATTTTTTTTTCAAACAAAATATAATATGAATTAATTATATAAATAATTAAACCTTTATAAATTAATCTATAATATTAGTTAATTATATTGAATTATTAAACCTTTATAAATTAAATTATAATATTAAATTTTGTCAAAGTCAAACAAATTAAAATATTAATTTATTAATTATCTAAATTTATTAAACTTATATAAATTAAATTATAATATTAATTTTTTTAAAACATTTAACTAAAGATTGAAGAACAAGCAGGGACTCCTCATCATCGGTAACATGCAGGGACTCCTCACCGGCGAAGAAGAGAAAGGAAGCAGAATAACTCCTCACCGAGGTAACTTGAATGGAAGCTCCGCCGGTAACATGCAGGGAAAAAATTAAAATTAGACATCAAATAAATACAAAGAACATGCAGGAACATACAGAGAGAAAAATACCTTCAGAGGAGGCCGCATGTCGTCGGAGAGTCGAGTCGTCACCGGAGCTTGAGTCTCCTGAAGTCAACACCCGTCGTGAAGAACTCAGCTGCTGCTGGTGGATCGGATTTAGCTTTAGTTCTATGAAGAACTCAGAAGCCGAACCACCACCAGCGGCTGGGATCTTCCCCGAGCAACAAGCCACCATCACCGGAGCTGCATGTACCTGAAATTTGGAGAACAAAGTTAGAGAATATTTTTAAAAACTAAAAATATTAAAGATAGAGACATCAAACACTACCATATCCGTCGCATGCATGGAGAGAGAACTCAAGATCCGTCTAGATCCGTCGCTCAAGATCCCACCGGACGATGAAGGATCGTCTTCTCCGGTGAAAAGAGTTTCAAGACTCAAGAACAACAAGAATCTTGTCACAGCTTTCGGGAGAAGAAGACAACCCTCCACCATCCGGTGGAGTCCTTGCGAGTAACCAGAACCAGAACTCCATTTCTGTGGCGCCGATCTCGTCTTTCTCTCACTCTCTCTGTCTCTCTCTTTTTGTTTTTTCAGGTCGGCAAAAATGGGATGGAGAAGAAGATGCGGTACTTAGGGCGAACCGCGGTCTTATTTGGGCCGTCCCGCCTGAAGCCCATATCGCAGAAGACCCATCCCGGTAGGCCCGCGAATATGCGGTACACCAAATCCTAGGCCCAAACCCGCCCCACCACAGGTTCTACCGGGCCTGTCCCGCGGTCCAAGCCCACACTTGACATCCCTAGGTGGTGAAATAGAGATGACTGTTTCTCCAACTCCGAAGTACAAATCAGATTTCGATAGTTTTCCTGGGAATAGGTACTTCACCTACAAAAATTATGAGGTAATTATCGCTTATATTTGTTTTCGTTGTAAAACTAAGAGAAACTGCTGTTTGAAACTCCGTAATACTTAATTAAAACGTAATACTTAGTTAAAACTGGATTGTACTCTAGGTGAAACTAAGTTATACTCTGAGTGAAACTGTGCAGTACGATGGGATGCACTTTTGTCAGCCATGGGCCTTCGGTGTTCAGGAAGAAGTGCAGCACCTAAGGAGGGAGGTGGATGATATGACTGAAGAGATTGCTAAGATTAAGAGGCTTATTACCTCGACCTCCAGTACATGAGTCATGAGATTCTTAATTCTCAAGTTCTGAGTTTATGTGCTTAAAAATATGTCTCTTTTTATTATTTCGGTTAATACAAGTCTTTGTTTGTTAATACTTGTATAAGTTTATGTCTTCAAACTTATGTTATGATTCAAGTTACTCTTGAATCTTATCTTAAGTTATGCTCAAACTTATGTTATGTTAAGCACTCTTATGTTAAGCATTCTTATGTTCGTCTTAAACATTTCTTTCTACATTACTTTATCAATTGAAACTCTGTTGAGGATTAAAATTCTAATAAACTAATTTCCTAGTAAATGGATTTCATCATCAAGCATTATTGCAACAACAAAAACAATAAAAGCATCCACAATAAAGATTGCAACATAGTTAAAAGTTCTAAATCCACATCACAAATAAGAAACACATCCAAAGACATCACAAATAAGAAACACATCCAAAGACATCGTTTGTCTACTTCATAAAAAACCTACGTTGCACGGAAGCTTCATCGGACGTGCGTTTCCCGCTTCGGAACCGGAATCGGAATCAGAATCTTATGGAAGCTTGCGGAATCTCGATTCCAAAACGCTTCTAAAATATCCTATATAAAAAAACGTTGGAAGCTTACGATTCCACTTTGGAATCACGCTTCTAATTTTAAAAACACAATATCATATATAATAATATATATAGTGAGAATATATATATGTAAATACTAATATTAATACTATAAATCATATGTATGCACTGTTTTTATTAAAGATATATCATATATATATATATATATATTCAAATCTTGTGTGACAATTATTTATTAAATGTAAAAAATAACGAAATGGTAATATTTTTTTATAAACTTAATTTATTCGTATTTTCACAATTATAATATGCAATTATTTAAAATTATGATAAATGAATAAATTCTTTATTTTAAATTAGAATCATATAATTCTTAGTTATAATTTTTATATTTTTTCTTATATTTATATATATATTTGGCTATACGCTTCCAACATGTATCCGCTTCCTAATTTTTTTTAAAAATCTTGACTCCGCGCTTCCATACGATTCCGCTTCCGCTTTCGTTTCCATGTGACATATAAAAAAAACACAAAACAAAGTTCTAACACACCAAACAAAGGTCTAACACAACCAAGCAAGTTTTTCACTCTACTTCACTTTTTCCGACGTTTCTGTTTCTTTGCTTTCCTTCCTGTTGGTCTTTATTCTTCTGTTGTTTCTTTACTTTGTGCTTCCTTGACAAACTCCTTAAGCGGGGCCAATCTCCCATCCAATTGTTCAACCTTCTTGTCAACTTTCCTCATAATTTTCATCGTTCTTTTCAACAACTTCATAACATCTCCCAGTTGAATCGACTGCTCACCTACCTATACTTCATCCCTTGCTGCATTTTCAATCCCTTCTGCCTCTTTTTTTGCGCAGCTTCATCTTCCTCGTGAATAAATTCAAAATAGACCTTACAGCCTGCATCCAGACAATTTTCCAAACTATCCACAGCTAAATAATAATCGTCAACATCGTCTTCGTCTTCCAAAATGGTATCCAAGAGCCTTTCTTCTTGTGCAGTTCTGGTGGGGATGATGATGTCAATATCCTCTCTGCCCTGCGTAACAAAACAGTCAAACGTTAGTTCTACCATAGTTATACTCTAGTTTTACTTTAATCCTACCCTAATTCTACCACAGTCTTACTCTAGTTATACTTTAGTTCACATAAAAACTTGCAGTTATGTTACACAGTTCACTCTATCACAGAAAGTGAAAACCCTGGAATGATGACTTGAACATCTTCGGGCAGTTGACATTAGCTCCTTCAAAAGGTTCTCTGAACGCTATTCCTAGCTTAGGAATTTCCTCAAATACAAGAAACTGTTAAACAGAACATTTATGTAATACCATCAGTAAATAACAATAGCAATAACGTCATTAATGGAATTTTGCATACCTCTAGTGGAACGCAGAAACCTGGAAGCGGCCATAATGTTTTCTCTTTCACAACCCCTCCACAATGATCCATTGTGTGAGAGAGTCTCCTTCAGCATGTAATCAAAGGAGAATCTCTCCCATGGAAAGGACTTGCAGTACTCAAGATCATCCACTGCTCTCTGGAACACATCCAACACATCATTAGCCTTGTGTCCAGCCTTCGTTTGCGCGCAAACAACATAAGCTAAGAAGAATAGAACCGCCATCTTCAGTCTGTCTTTGTGGGGTCCCATGTCCACCAACTTCCTCTTAATATCCTCCAACCTTCTAAGTTCTCCTTCCTTGAATTGTTGATCACGAACTTTGTTCCACCAAGCTTTTTGTAGCCGAGAGGATAGTTGTGGCAGAATAGCCCAGATATCAAACTGTGTTCCCTCAGCCCATAACGGATGGGAACCTCATTCACAATGAACCACACTTCTCTCCGCTTCTCGCTACCGTCAGTACACAGCAACAACATCCACATTCTCTGAACCCTGTGGTGTTTCTCTCTTTTCATGTTGAAAATGAGTCTGAATTGAGGATGCTCCGTGAACCAACTCCACTCCACGTTAGACAACTTGGATTTCAGATAACTTAGCGTCTTAATCATGCTAGCTATCATACACCTTGTCCCTAGCTTTATTTTTCTTGTACTCAGATGGATTGAAGAACATGATGGTTGGTTTGATTGCCTTGGGTGCCTCATTTTCATTCAAATCCTGCAAGTTATACCTAAGTTATATCCAAGTTATACTAAAGTTATACCAAGTTATACTCAAATTATATTCAAATTATACTGAAGTTATACCAAGTTATACCCAAGCCATACTAAAATATATCAAAGTAATACCACATATCCATTTACAAAATCTCAGTTTTCCTTATGTTGTATCAAAACTGACAGTTTTTTCTATAATTCTGATATACCATGATTTCGACCCGCTTTTAGCCATGGTATTGATATGTTTTTATGAGTTTTATATATGTTTTGGAGTCTATTAGGTATGTTTTTAGGTTCAGGAGCACTTTGGAGTAAAGTGATGATTTAGGTGCCCTTTTGGAGCTTAAAAGAGAGTTTTCCGAGATGGCTATGAAGATCAGACAATGAGGATACATATCGATTGATACACACCCTGTGTAATCGATCGATGACGCTTCTATTGAAGATGAAGTCGAGATACTCCATCAATCGATGTACACCATGTACCATCGATCGATATGATGCGTGGAGAACAAGTCCAACTTGGCCGACTTGAAGCCCAAGTCTTCCCAATATTACAATAATGCCCTGACGAGTTTTTAACCTAATGGAACTCATATTTATAGTTTTTTGCCATTGTGTTTGGCTAGACATGCTTTTGATACCTTTTATGCCTTTTTGAATGTTTCTATTGTTCTAGTTACTCTTGTACTTGAAAAGCTTTGCATACTTTTCTTGTTCCTTTGCAATAAAGTATTTCTTTTCATCTTAATTTCTTAAATGTTTTAGAATTTTAGATTTAGAAGAAACACACAAAGAGATTTGTTGTTCCAAGAACTAAAAGTTCAATCTTCTATCTATGAGTTTCTATTACTACCTTGTTGTTATGAATCTCAGCTATGTCTGAGTAGATATCTTTGTTAGATTTAGGGTTCAAATAGTTATGAGGGATTAGCCCCAACTATAGAATGTTGAATTGTTGATATTCATTATCCAAATGAACCCTAATGCTTACTCTAGAGTAGCTATCTAGAGTATGATCATGGATGTGATTTAACTTGTTAATCATTGTCCTGAAATCATTTGGCATGAGCTTAGATCCTCTAGGGTTGTGCGAGAGCCAGTCTATGATCTTGGTGAACACAGTTTCGATTCGATCTTATGCTATATCGATCGATACTCTTATAGAGTAATCGACCGACAGCTACTCATATCGTCCGACATGGGGATCTTACCATCGGTCGATATCGCTGGTAATAAGATCAATTGATGTGTCTATTTAGCGACTGCTATTAGATCTATCTAAGAATCGAAGTTCTCATATATCTTGCAAGCAATTCATTAAAACTTCTATAGCATTATAATCCTAATTATCTGAATAGCAACCTTGAATCTAACTACTTTCTTTTATTGTTTCAAACCTAAAACCCATTCTTTTAAGCAACTTACCATTGCTTACAAATCTGCAATTTTACTATTTTAAACCTATTCAACCTAGCATAATCATATAGGATTATATCTATTGTGTTCCTTAGTTCCATGTGGATTCGATCCATAAGTACTACAACTGAACCTTTTATTTGAGAGAGTAATTCACTTCTTAGGGTTAAACATTTGAGTGATATCAAATTAGGCGCCGTTTCCGGGGAACTTTGATAACATTAGATTTAATCTAATTAGGTCTAGGTTATTTTTTCTTTTATTGTTTAATTATCTTCGGACACCAAATTTTTTTTTCTTGTCTTTTTCAGGTACATGCCCAGCAGTACTAGAAGCAACAAGAACAAACACCTTTTGTACTCAGAAGATCCTCACAGCTTGGAACGTAGCATCCGCAAAGACCTACGCTCCTCATCGATCGATATCAACACATCCCTGTCGACCGATACTTGCCTACCACAGTCGACCGAGACACCTTCAACGTCGACCGATACTCTCACCGACACATCGCTCGACATCAACAACCGTTGGTCGACCGATACCTTTCATCCGACATCGATCGATATACCTCATCTTACATCGATTGATACTAAACGGCGAGACATGGTAGCGCCTATTATTCTCACTACCGATGAGAATGGAGACCTGCGTGATCGAGATGGTCACCTGCGTAATGCAGCAGGTCAGAAGCTGAACGCTCAGAAGGAGATCATACCTGAGCAAGAGACTGCATTTACAGATATCATTCAACCTATAGAAGAGGCTAACCAAGCTAGATATTTGGCTGACTACAACCATCCAGATCAGTTATATTCCAACCGATCAGCCATCCGCCCTCCTGCTATTCAGAGAGGAGATTTTGAGCTTAAGCCGCAGTACTACACCCT